GAACCATAGGTCAGTAGTTCAAACCCACCAACTGCTCCTAGGAAACCCTATACAGGGTCGATATGAGTTAGAACTCACTTGACAGCACTTAACAACAACAGGTTTTTTACTAATGCCTTGGAAACATTTTTGTTGTTGTTGCTCTCTTTTTCCAACTAACTCCATACAATTTAGAAAAATATTCTATAAAGAGCTGATAAATTGTTAGAATAACTTTCAAATAATATGGAATATTGTGGCGAACTGTAAGATAAGCACTGACTACAAGGTCATTTGAATTGTAAGGTAGCTTGATGGTTCAAACTCACCAGCTCCTCCTCAGAAACCCTATACAGACTTGCTATGAGTCAGAACCAACTCAAAGGCACTTAACAACAACAATGATAGGAAATACGTGTTGCTGTTAAGTGCCATCAAGTAAGTTCCAACTCATAGCAACCCTGAACAGGGTTTCTGAGGAACAGCTGGTGGGTTTGAACTGTCAGTCTTGCAGTTAGCAGTCCAATGCTTATCCTACAGTGCCACCAGGACTCCATAGAAAACATATTGTTGTTGTTGTTAAGTGCTATCAACTTGGTTCTGAGTCAGCGACCCTATGCACAACAGAACAAAACACTGCCCAGTCTTGTGTCATCCTCACAACGTTTGTACCTGAGCCCCCTGATGCTACCACTGTGCCAGTGTATCTCATTGGAGGTCTTCTGCTTTTTTGCTGACCCTCCACTTTAGCAAGCATGATGTCCTTCTCAGGGATTGGTCCATCCTTAGAAAATGTCTGAAGTATGAGAGATGATGTCTCACCATTCTGGCTTCTAAGTAGTATTGTGGCTGTACTTCTTCCAATATGGACCTGTTTGTTCTTATGATATTCCATGTTGCTTTCAATATTCTGCCCCAGCAGAATATTCAACCATAGCTAATATAGATAGATAGATAGATAGATAGATAGATAGATAGATAGATAGATAGATAGATAGATAGATAGATATCGGCTCTATCTATAAAATAGCATGTCAGAGTAATTAAATAATATTAAAAATGCTACCAGTGAAGGACTTTCCTGATTATACTAATGAATAATCCTTTACCAGGTAGAGTCTTGAAAAACCAGTGAAATTGCCAAATTCATGTTGATCCATTCTAATTCTCAAGGCATTTAGTTCTTACAATGCCTTTTTCTATTTGCTAAGTTTGTGGAGTAAATAAAGACAGTGGTTTCTTTTTTAGGGGCACTTCCCCCAGCATATCTGGAAAGGAAATCCAAGTAGTTTGTGACTTCTTAACTCCAACTATGCAACCTAGTTTATAAACAATATTTATTTATGCAACAATCTTTCAGTCACCAAGCATAGATAAAAATAAACCCATGAATTTTTATCTAAATCCTCTCTTGGGAGAAAGATAAGAACTTGAATTCCTGGATTGGACGTGTATCCTGTTTATAAAACAAAAAATAATTGTCACTTCATATCTTTCTGTGAGTCAGAATTTTGGGGTATGTTTACTTATTTAAAGCTGACACTGAAATGGGGCACTGAGAATCCCCCAAGGTGCTAAAAGGGTTTTTAGTCTTACCAAAGCAAAATACCATCCTAATACAATAGTTATATAGTTAGTATTGTGAACCACCCCTCCTGGAAGCTGCACCTGGCATCCCTCTCTGACTATCTGTGACAGTCAACTACTGCAATCCAGAGTTATCAAATCAGTTCCGAGTCATAGCAACTTTGCACAACAGAATGAAACACTACCAAGTCCTGTGCTAAGGTAGTGTTTGAACAATGGGTTCAAACATAACAATCACAATTGTTATGTTTGAACCCATTGTTGCTGCCACTGTGTCACTGAGACTTGTTAAATGCTGTAGAGTAGGTTCTGACCCATAGCGACCTTGTATAGGGTTTACAAAGAGTGACTGGTGAGCTTGAACCACCAACCTTGCAGTTCAAGTGGCTTTACAGTGTGGCACATTAAACCACAGTGCCACACCAGGACTCCTGTCACTGAGACTGAATTTACAAGAGGCCTAAAAGAGGTCACTGAGACTAGGCCTCTTTTAAATCCAGTCACACGGCGAGTGGCTGAATCTTAAGGACCAGATCATGATTGTTGGAAAAATTGCCTTTTACAAAATCAAATAAAATTTTTAGCTAGCCATAAATGAATGTAAATAAGCAATTAATTCATATTGTGTCAGGCACTGTTCTAAGCACTTTATCATCTCATTTGACAGATCACCATCACATAAATTATATAAAGAAACTAAGGCCCAGAAGATATGTAATAACCCAAATTCACACAACTAAAATGATTAGTATATATATTATCTCAGACCTTCCCCGGGGAAGAGAATACTGAAAGTGCCATGGACTGCCAAAAGAACCAATAGATCTGTTTTGGAAGAAGTGCAGCCAGAGTGCTCCTTGGAGGCCAGGATGGCTAAACTTCGTCTCTCCTACTTTGGACATATTGTCCGGAGGAAACAATCGCTGGAGAAGGATGTCATGCTGGGTAGGGTGGAGGGTCAGAGAAAAAGAGGAAGACCCCCAACGAGATGGATCAGCCAGGAGGCATCATTGATAGACTCAAGTGTGGCAGCGGTAGTGAGGTTGGCCCAGGATCGGACATTGTTCTGTTCTGCTCTGCATGGGGTCGCTATGAGTCGGTTCTGACTCGATGGCACCTGACAACAACAACAATCCACGGAGAAACATTTTGCCATATTGCATTGCTTTGGTAATAAAGTTGTAAAACATTGTTTTTCTAAACAGATTATTCTTCCTGTTCTCCCACAAAATTATGTGGGCCCGTTTAGCAGTTACCAGGTCTAACAATTATTCCAGAGGTAAAAAAAAATACGTATTATTCTTATTAAAAAAATGTTTTTCAATGATTGACAAAAAATGAAATGAAAAAATCTGTGTAAATAAAACACATCTGCACTCAACTGGTCCAGATTTCTTTTCGCTGCATATGGATTCTTTTTCTTGTCTATGATTTCATGTTATTTTAATTGCTCCGCCTGAGTTATTTGGCATCATTGATGTTGCATCATTTTATCAACATCATAAAATTGTGTTAAGTGCCTTCTAGTAGGTTCTGACTCAGCGATTCTTTGTATAGGGTTTCCAAGAAGCAGCTGGTGGATTTGAACTGCCAACCTTGTGGTTCACTATCATGCAATGTTAAGTGACAAAGAGAGGATTCCCATCCTATGTATAGGATTTCCAAGGAGCATCTGGTGAGTTTGAACCCCGACCTTGTGGTTCAAACCGACCTTGCAGTCCATTGCTATCCTATAGTGCTGCACCAGTTGTCTTTAGGTGCCTTCCAGTCAGCTCAGACCCATAGCGACCCTGTCTGGAGTTTCGCAGGAGATGCTGGTGAACTTGAATCTCCAACCTTGCAGTTCAAGCCACCTTCAGGCCAGAACATTAGCCAACAGCAACACACCAGGACTCTGAGTGCTCATTATGAACATCGTTGTTCAATAGATATTAATTTATATCTCCATTGTTTAATGCTTGTTGTGACAATTTCATTCAATTATTTGTCCTTTCTGGGACTCAAACTCCATAGTTGCTTTAAAAAACAACAACAAAAAAAAACCTTTTTGTCAGTGGAGTCTAAGCCTGATGTGAGTTTGATGCCCCTTCCTACTTTAACACCTTAAAGATAAAAAAAATAGCAATTTATTTTACATGATAAGGAGCTCTGGTAGCGTAGTGGTTACAAATTGGCCTGCGAACCACAAGGTCAGCAGTTCGAAACTACCAGCTGTTCCACGGGAGAAAGATAAGACTTTCTGCTCCCATAAAGATTTACAGCCTCGAAAACCCTGTACAGGGTCGCTATGAGTCGGAACTGACACCATGGCACATAACAAGTTACTTCTAGAATAAACAATTAGCTGCTAACTACAAGGCCAGTGGTTCAAACCCACCAACTGCTTTTTGGAAATCCTATGTTGTTAAATGCCTTCGAGCCAGTTCCAAATCATAGCTACCCTGTATAGGTTTTTTATAGGAGCGGCTAATGGGTTTGAACCACCGACCTTGAGATTCAAACCGACCTTGCAATCCAGCAGTTTATCCTGCAAAGGCCACACCAGGCCTCCAAATCCTATACAACGTCGCTAAAAGTCAAAAGCGACTGGACCGCACTTACATCCACTGGTATAACGCTGCAAGCACTAGACTGTTAACTTCAAAGCAGCTCAAAACCACCAGCCACACCTCGGAAACGTTAAACAGGATTCCTTGAGTGGTAACCGAGGGCACAACACTCAACATCTACACAGTAAATGTTCCCGTGAAAAACTGGCTAAAGACTTGGGACCGTGAAAAACTGGCTAAAGACTTGGGACCGTTACCCTCAAACTAGTGCTACCTGGCAATCATGCGCCAAGCTGCCGCAATTTAAACAAGCTAAGATGTACAACGTGCAATTTAGAGGATTGTATTGGCACAACAAAGAGCTAGTGCCGGACGGCAGGGAAACTGGATTCTCTTAAATCTGCCGTGCCATAGGGAAATTGCTGCTAGTTCATATATGCTGCATTCTTGGCTCGGGTTCTACACAGAAGCAAAAATAGTGGATTAGTTTGCTTACAAGAAAACTAGATAAATAACTGTGACCGTATGAGCTCGAATAACAAGACATTAATTCAGATATAATGGCGCAGAGTCCTTAGGCACATAGTTACTTTGACTACTCTGAAAGAATGCCTGGGGTTCCTAATCACAGTAAACACCACCTGTGAGGTTTGTTTCTGCCCTATTGCCTCAAGGCCAGGGAAGTCATACTGGTTTTAGAGACTTGAGTTTTCTCAAGCTCTATTGTTTTCAAAAACAGCAAATTCGACTCTATTGAAAGCTGGTGTCTAATGTAAACAAAAATTTAAAAGACAATAGTCCTGTGAAATGGCAGACCAGAGAATACCCCGGAGAAACGCTAATCAAATCTGCATTACGGCTCCTCAAATGAGAGAATGAGGGGCCCTGAAAAGGGCCTTTTGTTGTTATGCAAGACTAGACCTCCAAGACATTTAGCCGCCGAACCCGTATAGGGTGCGCCCCTGCCGTTTCAGCGCGTAGACCACATCCATGGCGGTGACTGTCTTCCGCTTGGCGTGCTCGGTGTAGGTGACGGCGTCCCGGATCACATTCTCCAAGAAGACCTTCAGGACGCCGCGAGTCTCCTCATAGATGAGGCCAGAGATGCGCTTCACGCCTCCACGGCGAGCCAAGCGCCGGATGGCCGGCTTGGTGATACCCTGGATGTTGTCGCGGAGCACTTTACGGTGACGCTTAGCGCCTCCTTTGCCAAGACCCTTCCCGCCCTTGCCACGGCCAGACATGATGAGGTACTGAAGATAAACGCTCTGACTTGATGGCCAAAGCAAGCTTTTATACATCCGTTGGCGGACCAAACAGAGACCCACAGAAAGAAGGCGGGAAGTCCCGCCCTGGTGGGGGAGGGAAATTTCCGGAGGCGGGAAAAAGGCTTTGTTCTGTAATCCTTTAACTAGAATTGTTTTTGTAAAATTCTTTAATAATCCTAAATACTGTTGAAAACTCAAAACATCACGAAAAATAAAATTAACAGCTGCAACTACTGCCAATATATTAGTGAATAGTTAAATACAGACAAATTTGTTGGAAGACGTGTTTCATACAAAGTTACAGTTTTGTAACTTTCCTACAGTAATTAATTTCCTTTATATGAATTTTCAAAAATGTAACCTTTAGTGTCTGCTACACGGAGTCCTGGTATGGTGCTGTAGGATAAAGCACTGGACCACAAGGTCGGTTAGAATAACAAGGTCAACGGTTCAAACTCACCAGCCGCTCCTCGGAAACTCTATACAGGGTTGGTATGAGTAGGAACCGACTCGACCGCACTTAACAACAATCCTGTATAGGGTTTCTGAGACGAGCTGGTGAATTTGAACCGCTGACTTTTCAATTCAAACTAACCTTGTGGTTATCCTATATTGGCACACCAGGACTCCTGACCATCACAAGTATTACAATTTTTAAAAATGAGCTCTCGTAGCGTAGTGGTTACGGATCCGGCTGCGAACAAGGTCAGCAGTTTGAAACTACCAGCTGTTCTGCGGGAGAAAGATGAGGCTTTCCGCTCCCATAAAGATTTACAGCCTTGGAAACCCTGTATAGGGTCACTATGAGTCGGAACCGACTCCACGGCACATAACAACAATTTGTTAAATTCAGGATTTACTTTTGGTGTTGACAACTGAGTTTTGTTAATCAACTGGTCAATCAGCAACCACTTTAACGTAAGTTAACTTCTCTATTGCATTGGGGACCATTACTGCTGTTTCCACTGAAAGATGTTTTAAACATTGTAACTCTATATGTTTCAGTTTTGGAGTTTGTTTTTGTTTTTTAGTGAATAAACATTGGAAATGAATAACCTTTGGAATTTTGATGGAAATATTGCAGGAAGACAAGGTCCGAACGAGAGAAAGAAATCATCCCAACACCAATGATATTAGAGGAAGAGGCTTTACGGCCAGCAGAGAACCGGTGGACTAATGTCCCAAATGCCCAGCTCCCGAAATAGCTTTCTTACTAGCTTTATATAGGGTTACAGCGGGCTGAGTGGTGAGACCACCATGTTACTTTCTCATTGGTGGTTTCTAGATAAGAGGCTTTTACAAAAGCAGAAGCTGTTCCTTTCCTTTGTGTGTGACTTAGACCTCAAGGTCTTTTGGGCCAGGGGCCTTCTCCCTCAATAATTGCATTGCATTTCCTAACTAATTTGAGCAAAAAGATTTGTATCTTTAAAACACTTGAGCTCTATTCATTTTCTGTTTATTTCTTCAGAAGAAATAAAAATGGATTTTGATGGCAGTATGACCATGGGGTGGCGGTGTCATATCAGTACTGGCCTTCGAACCATATGGTTAGCAGTTCAAATCCACCAGCTGCTCTTCAGAGACCCTATATTTGCTTTGACTCAGAACCCACTCAAGGGCACTTAACAAGACCAATAACAAAACCTTGTGTTACAGTGTAGAATAAGCATTGGATAGCGAAACTCAAACAGCAGTTCAAATCCAGGAGAGTCAGACTGAATCCAGGAGAGTCAGACTGACTCCAAGGCACTAAACAACAAATATTTGCCCAACCCCAAAAAACAGATTTTTGTTTTTTAAATATTCATAACTTCTTTTTCTCCATGCTCTTGGAGAACTCTCTATCAATATTAAAACATCAGTTTTTGACATGCTGATTCCATATTAGTTATTGACCTAAAACTTGATGTATTTCTCTATAAATCCAAAGCTTTTTAGTTTTTTACTTCTCAGAAAATTATTGTCTAAACATATACACGTATATGTTGTTGTTAAGTGCC